TTTATATCTGTGTTTGTTGTCTTTGAGACTAGTGACTGCTTGTCTCTTCCTTATCTCGATATTTCTTAAGCGGTCGTGTCTTGTTATGCCGAGAACCGGTCGTAGAAAATCGCATCTCAGTCGCTTAAATTCTACTTATATTTTTCTTTGTTATGTTCAAATTTACCTTCCGCATTGCCTAACCTTGTAAAATTTAATCTGTGTATCCATTCTAGATCTTCAAAGCGCGCCTGATTTTATAGTGCGTTCCAGCGTTTTTGGCCACTAAAATTTTGTGAATTGGAACCTCGGAGCGAGTCACTTACCAGAAGTTTTCTCGAAGGGATAGCAACAGACCGCGTACAGTACACTCCAAATAAAATATCATCATGGTACGTAACACAGAAAAGTCGATTTCACTACGGTACACACCACAAGAAAATTAAAACTGCAGAGAGTGTTAGATAATTTTAACTTCTACACAAATCCTCGGTCCACTTCCAATTCTTCCAATCCTCACAGATCATCTCTTTGTGACATCACTCGATTCATCACTACCTCTGATGCTGTTCACTCCATTATCTTCAATTATAATACGTTCAATATCGTCTTCGATTATGCCTTCTTGCTCATAATAAATTTGTTCTAGGTTTTCTAAATGTTGACGTATATTATTCCATTCCTCTTGCCCAATTTCTTCGAATCTCTGGCGACACAATTGATCGACGTCCTTAATTTGAAATGCTGTCTTACATCTGCCCAAATAATTCGATTTATTTTTTGTTTGTTACAAATGTCCAGATCGTATCTGTAGCTGTTTGTAAAATTATTCTGAAATGTCTTTCTATCCTTCCTCTGGCGCCGTATGCAGAGATGATTGTAAGGTATTATTATTATTTAGTGTTCTGTCTGAAGACAGGTCCATATGAACAGGATCCTTCCATCCTTTTCTCGGACTGGGACCTGTTCATATACGTTCTTGGCAGATGATCCAGAAGTGGTTTGCCATTGCCTTCTTCTGTGTGTGAATGGAGTAATTGTTGGGATGCCACGGAGGAAAACTCCGTGTTGCCTAGACCACGGCGACTCCGCAAAATATCATTGTGTATTTTCACAGATCTTACGTGCCTTGTAGTTTCTGTTAATTATTTCAATTTTAATCCTCTTATTTTCTAATTCATTTTGTAGTTCCAATAGTTTACTGGAAAATTCACGCACATTCCACGTCGCTATGTCTACCTGTTCCAAAATCCCAAATCGCTTGTCCTTTTCTCACCGAGTTTTTCTCGAGACCCTATCCGGATATTACAATCAAGAAGTGTATGAGTGAGACTGATTTTACCACCGACATGGCCGTCAGCGTCATGGGGGAGCGGGCACATTTCTCCCCACCACGTAAAGGTGGTGTCCCCTTGGGAAGGTTAAGAGCGAACAAGCTAGCAGTGTGAATGTTAAATATTCAAAGGAACAAAGGCACATATCCATAGGCGTGTAGAAACAAGCAGGTAACATATTTGTAGTTGCGAATAGTAAATTTTGTTTTTTAAACTGAGTATAAATCGTTTTATAGGATTATAATTTTTGCATGAAAACGTACGTTCAATTCACACGAAGAAATATTAAATAAATATTAGTGAAATGCGTACTGTGGTCGCTATAAGATTGTGCAACTTATGGTCCAGTAGAGTACTCTAGCATTTATATTACCTAATTTCGTTTATTTGCGTCTTTGTACCTAATTTTCGTTAAGACTCAGATAAGTACAACCGCCATTTCCTTAAGAATTAACATTGCTATTGTATCGAGTCATACAATCGATATCATAACGCATAATTACGTAGATAAGTCAACTTATGCTCTGTTCTGATGTACACAATCCGACTTTTAATTCGATATATCGTTTTATCGGTCTGTCGGTTTGGTTCTCGTTAACGTGTATAAAACATATTTTTATACCCCACAAACAGACGACTTTCAAGAGAATAAAATAAGACAGTTCGTTACGGCGTATTGAATTTAAAAAATAAAGACACTTTCATTTCAGCTTGAAAGTGCTGAAACGAGGCACCACGTGATCTTACCAGCCTTTCCCATACATAAATACAATTTTAAAATGTTAACGTCTCAGACTGTAGTTATTTCAATTATAATAGTGCGTAACAGTGGTTATGAAAAATTATACTGTTCAAGAGAACGAACCTTGTTCTGAGATGGTAACACTTATGGATCTCTCCTCTGAACACATCTGAACCGATTGCTATTTCATATATGACTGATATAAACATCAATAACACCACCTCAACAATAATGTTATATTAATAATATCTAGACACAACTTCCATAAAATATACTGAGAAAGATGATAAAATTATAAAATTGTAAAAACTATAAATAATTGTAATTTGAGTTTAAAAGTTTATAATTTACACCTGATGACGGTTTGATAAACCGAAACATGTTGTGAATGTTCCGATGTAAATCGAATGCTCGATATGGAACATAAGATGATATATTAATCATTTTAATTATCTTATATTACTATTTTATTGTGATTTGACGGTAAACAAATATAATAATTATTTGCTCAAGAGATATGAAACGAGAAATTATGGGAAGAAATATATAGCAATAATTTGAATACAATGTATTTTAATTGAAAGAGTAGTTGTCTACATTTCTAAAGAACTATTGTGCTTTTCGGATAATGTTGTTAAATATCTAAACGTGAATGAGACTGGCCCTCTGACGCGGGTCCATTTCAATTGGTACCTCTCGCTTTCAGACTGGGGCACAACCGTATCTCGAAAATAACATAGAACGATGAACGAAGTCCAATGAAACATCGTTATTAACTTTCATATAAATACTTGCGTACTTAACATGGTCATTACTCTTTAAAATTGGTCAGTTAACACGTGCTTAAGGGCTAAAACTGCTGTAACTATTCTTAAATCTTATCTCTGGCGATGGTAATAAATTTAAAAAAAATCATAATACTTAGAATTTTAATTTTAAAATTTTTTGTGCTATGCTCACAAAGACCGACACTACCCTGACCTGAGGCACATGAATCAGTTATAAACTCTTAAATCCTGTTATTTAATGTCGACTTTAATAATTTTTTTTCTCATATTCTCCTAGATTTATATTTTCTTCAGGATTTCGCACTGAACTGAGAAGCAATTAGCGTCGCCATCATGCGATTTACATTTCGTCGTACCTGATTTCGTCCTGCAACGCAAATTTATTGTCTTAAACTGACCTTGAATATGTGCCTGCCCGCGTTCGCTGTGTCCACACCACGAACTCTGACCACCTTTTCTTGTTTGTGGTAATCCTGTCACAGGCGATAACAACCTTAAGTTTCTCACGTAGCCTGCTTGCGAGTTTATGCCGTGTAACTTACGAATAAACAAGCAGATAATTGCAGATGCTATGTTAGACAATCATACAGTACAGATCACTTCATATATCAGTTCCTACCTACATAAAATGTTGTGTAACAGGAATTGTAATTCGAGTCTCGGGGAAAGCAATTTCTCATGAGCTTTCGACCAGTGTATGGGACCGGTGCCAACCCAGCATCGTGAGAAAATTGGGGAGCTACAATAATTAGCTTAATCCGGTTATGAAAACTAGCAATGGCTGGGGGTTCGTCGTGCTGACCAAACTTCATCCTATATCTGGTTGGATGATCGTTCACCTCTGCTTAGGCATGTGTGTAAGATTATTATTTTGGTTTGTAGTATATTTTTAATTACATTTCCCATCATATTTATCATTCAGAGGCGTTTTTTCCTTTTTATGTAAGGTCTAGTGGTCAGAACGCTGGGCTTATAATCCTGGGGTCCCGGGTTCGATTCCCGGCGGTGCCCGGATTTATAACTCGTATTGGGCAAGGTATCACGGAGTTTTCCTCCGGGGCTTCCCCGGTTTCTCCGTGGCATCCCAACAATTACTCCATTCACACACAGAAGAAGGCAATGGCAAACCACTTCTGGATCATTTACAGAGGGAACGTGTTCATAATGTCACCGATGGTACCAAGAAAAAGGTATAACCCACCCTAATAATGCTTCATTAACCACCAAGATATAAGTGGAGGTACAATTCCACGCGTTCTTAATATCTGTACTGTACATGAATTTTTAGCCTCAAGCTCCGTCGGCTTTACCCTAACAAACTAATCTAGTATCCACCCAGAACCGGGCTGGACATTGTGGTAAACCTTATCCCTGTCGGGAATGAAACCCTGGCGACCCAGCTCGAAATTCATTTCTTATAGGAACTGAATTACAACGGCCTCTGTATTATGCGTTTGTAAAAATTTAAAATTTAGAAAAAAACTTTAAAAATTTCAAAATGTTAAAAGTTGAAAAAAAATTTAGAAACGTTTAAATAATTCACCCAGATTTATAGTCTAAAAGTTTTCAGAATTGTTTTAAAAGATTTTAAAAATTTATATTTTCGAAAATGTTCAAACGTTTTAGGCATTTTTAATACTTTCATCATTATCAATATTGTAAACAATTTATAATATTTAAAAGATCTACATTTACGAAGACAAAGGTGTTAAAAGTAGTCAGTATTTTTGAAAATGATCAATATTTTCTGAAATTTAAAAGAAATTTGCTTAAACCGTCCTTACGAAACCTAACCCAACACAATATAACATAATATAAAATAACCTGAATTGACCTAACATAACCGTTAATCATACAGTAAGCCAAATGTCGCGAAAGATCGTAATTTATTTGAATAAGTCATCACCTTCAGCCACTTACCTTCGTGACATCATAACCATGTGTCGAATTCCTGGGCAATGACACGTATCATTATCCTGAGAACACACTCGGAACCATACACTAATTATTTGCGCTGATATACTTTGTTTGTTAGTATTTGTTTATATATAAAGCACCTGAACATCTTATGCAAATATTTGCTCACGCCGAAATGACAGCGATTCTCAGCATCAAATGACGGTTTTCAATGCCACATAAAAATAATAAAATTCCATTAGTTCTGTGTTCGTGACCTTCAGAATTATTTGTATAAACCTGTTGTGTGACGTACGTAACTTATAGAGCGTTTGTAGTACAGACATTAGAAATCAAACATTACGTAGTACGGGCTATGGACTATGTACTATGAGCGTCTGTTAATATTACGTTTATGTTTGTGACTTTGAATTACGCTATGTGTATTTGTTGTACGTGTTGAAGTCAGTCAGTTGGTCTACACTGAGAAATTCTGTGCTTCAGATTGAAATATCGTCAAAATCTATTTCCCAGATTTTTAGTCATAAATTCTGCCATTAACAAATATTTTATTTATATAATGTATCTTTTATTATTTTTCAGGCTAATATGTATGTTTCATGTGTGTTATCTTGGAAAATGTGTTAACACAACTATAAAAATTTATATATATATTGAAATTATGTTATTTACTATATCCTGAGTTGTTCAATTTTGCTTTTTTCTGGACTTTAAAAACCGTTTAAGGCCGACCGCAGTGGCCACGCGGTCTGATGCATGGACCTCGTGCGCCTTGCCGCTGGGACCGTGGGTTCGAGTCCCACTCAAGGTATTGATGTTTGTCGGCGTCTTTCTGTGTTTGTATAGGTAGAGGCCATGCGTAGGGCTGATCACTCATCCAAGGAGTCCTACCATTGTCTAAATACATCAAGAAAATTAATAAATAAAAAAATAAAGAAAGATAAACCGTTTAATATCCTGAAATAAGACCATTACTAAGATGCCTGTGTTCTGGTTTGTAGCGTCATGTGGTCTGGTAGAAGTTAACCGACGTTTCAGATGTCCTTGCTGTCTCCACTATTACGATTTGGGAGAGTTGGATGTCGTACCGTCCTCATGTAAAAATTCTATAATCGTGGGTCTATTCAAAAGAACGAAGCCCAATACCTGGACCCTGGATCGGCCCCTTGTCATAGGACCAGCCAAAACAGAATTTTCACCTTGAGGTGAGAGCAGAGGCAGATGAATATCTTGAACAGTTGATAAACCGTAGCTAAATTACTCAGAGCTACGAAAAGAAGCGAGATACATTCATATTAAGTTTGGGTCTGAGACAATTTTACCGTGCACAGCTCACGAAGAGAGTTCCTCATTGAAATTTTTTAATTTTTATTTTTGTGATGCGAAATTTTGTACTGAAAGAAAGTCTGCGTACCTTTGATATTTATTTTCCGAATCGTGCTATTTCACTTTGTGGTTAGGCCGCTGATAGAATTTCCAAAGTAATGTCATAACACGAAAATAACACACGATCAGCTAGCAGCGTCTTGTTCTCTGTGCTCAGTAAGTAATTGTATATGAATACAATTTTAAAACACATTAGATAACAGGCTATAATGCCTTTCTAATTGCCTTCTCATGCGTTCGTTGCTTGAAATGTATAGTGGGACCTCATTATGGGCTGATCTTATTTGTCTGTTAAGTCGATTTATCTCGAGAACCACAGGACGGATTTAAATGAAATTTGATGTGGAGGTTGTGCTATTCTCCACGTCTTCAAATTCGTACTTTTGAATATTCTACGAGCGGTAGAAACAAAATCACTGACAAGTAAAGTCGGGAGGTGGACGCTGAAGTGTTCCGATCTGGTGGCGAAAACGAGAACTATCGAAAAAGACGCTGATTTTATAACCTTAAAAGCACATTACAAAGACCACACGAGGATATTATGTGTATTCAAGCACGGAATAAACTTTCCGATCTCTTTACGGTCAGTTATTTACTGAATTAATGTCTGTCGCTCCACAGAACATAATTCTGGTTAACTGTATATAAATTCTCTCTTCTACGTCAGTATGTCAACATTTCGGAGTAACACTGCAAACATCTTATGGTATATAACTTTTTTCAGTGGGATTGTCTCTCTCCAAAACTGTGCCACAATTGGGCTCATTGTCATACCCCTCATGAGTGCACACTGAGAAGCGGTGCTAGTTTTTCTAAACTCTCCTGGGAGCGACGTTAGACCTTGCAATGCTTCACATACTCGTTGCGTATTACGTTTAAAATTACTTTACAGAGCATGTTTGCCTTAATGTAATGAGGCTAATATGTCTCCGTGTCCAACTTCCAGATCACACGTTTGTCAATACGGAGCAGCGGTGGAGTGACTCTGACAGGGAAAACCGAAGGCCGGAGAGTAATCTCTCTGGTCCTGCGCCGTCAGAGGCTGACGACTCACGGCAGAAATTTTTCGTCATTTCACTGCGAGGCTGAATACAGTAATGTGTTAGCTTTTCACGAACGTGTGCAAAAACATGATGGCTTTCTGGGTTCAGCGTCTCGTAGGGTTTTAGCTGCGTACGAAGCTTCCTAAGGAATGTAGTGTCTCCATCTTCGGGATTCTTTTCCAGCTGACACACGGCTGAACAAACTTGAAGACCAACTTCTATCTACGTCTTTATAATTTATCGGTATTACAATTAACAGAATATTATCAGACTAATTAAATTAAGGACGATGACATGGGTGGGGCATGTAGTATGCACTTAAAAGGTAAGAAATGCATACAAACTTTAGTTGGGAAATCCAATATTGCATGGGAGAATAATATTAAATTGATATTGGGTTGCATTTGTCTGACAAAAAGCAGGATTAATGGAGGGAGTTTGAGAATCTTCATTCGGGTTTCTTAAAAGGATGTAAATTTCTTGACTAGCTAAGCGACTGGTAGTTTCTCATGGGGATCTCTTATACATCCAGCTAAATCATGTAGATGTTTTACTTCAAATTTTGCATGTTTTCTTTGTTCTGGAAAGAAAGCCAAGATGTAGAATGTCTAAATTATTGAGACTGCATTCAGCCCACACAAAATACAATGTTTGTACTGAATTAGTTCTCAATGCATAACCTTTCCGTTTTATTCTCATTTTAACTCTGTTGGCTTGTAGAAATGTAATCGCCTCAGGATTATGACGTTAAACACTATAGTAGCCATCATCAAATTTCAAGGTCACGACAATGAACGGAGCCCAGGCGAATGATGACCACTCAGAAGTCGCAGGGTAGCGAAGTTTGTATCACTGCTCTGATTATTTAGAGAACCATGGTAAGAGGGGAGGATAACGTTTCGTGACCTTGTGTTGGGCAAGGCCGTGGTCTAGGCAACACGGAGTTTTCCTCCGTGGCATCCCAACAATTACTCCATTCACACACAGAAGAAGGCAAGGGCAAACCACTTCTGGATCATCTGCCAAGAACATATATGAACAGGTCCCAGTCGGAGAAAAGGATGGAAGGATCCTGTTATTAATATCAGAAGAAGGCAATGGTAAACCACTTCTGGATCATCTGCCAAGAACGTATATGAACAGGTCCCAGTCCGAGAAAAGGATGGAAGGATCCTGTTCATATGGACCTGTCGTCAGACAGAACACTAAATAAAAATGGCTGCAGTAATTCTGTCTTCTCTATCATAGACGGATTACAACCGAGAGGTTACTGATTATTTGAGGCATGCTATCTAATTCAGAGTTATCCAGAATGGGAGGCACGCGCTAATGTTTTGCGAATAAAAATCACGGGATTTTATTATTTATTGCATGTGATCCAAAATACATAATTATCAACCGTTCACGAAGTTACACAACTGTATATTTCAAGGCCTTTATGTAATGTCAATTAGGTAGTCATAACGGGAATACTTACAGGTTCCACTCTGTAATGGACCCGAAGTCGGGGACACTGGTAGGAACGGGTCTGTGATTGGTGGAAGCCTTTGTCAGACAGCAGTCAAGAAATAAAAAACAAATATTTTTAAGGCTTATATTCTCGTAAATAATCGTGGTCTGATGTCGGAATTTCCTAACATAGGAGACGTTAGGGCATTTTGATTCTTAAATTCGCTGTGAATAAAAATATTGATTTCAAAGTGATATCGAAGCAAACAATCACAGGGAATGCAACCATGGTTCTTCTGCTGTAAAAAAAATATATATATATAAAAAAATATCAGATTTTCTGACATCCGGTTTCACTTATCAACTCGTGAACAGAGAAAGAATTTCAGCATGTGATGACGTTCTCGCATATGATAGTTAAAATGCAAGGAATTGGTACAGGAATTTAACAACAAGACAGTTTGATTGATAAATTTAATTAAAACAGCAGTAATTGCATCGATAAATGACTGATAACCTTAATTTGAGAGCTCATATTTAATTACTAAAATCAGAAATCGTCGTACCATTTTAGAAACATTTATTATACCACCAGTCATCGAGATGTGTAAAATTATGTACTATGAAAACTACGACCAAGTATTTATAGCAATTCCTTTTTTAATGGTATCGTTAATCGACGAATTGAAGACGACACAGAAGACATCAAGGAACGCCTGATAAACAGATTAAATGTAATTCAAAAATTTCAACTGAAATAGAAAAATCCTGAGATGATGCTGGTTTACCTCACCTGCTTGGGTTTATCATTTTTATGTTCTGTCTACAGCTGAAAAAGGCTGTGAGTCGCTGTACGAATTCGTAAGAAATTTCTTGTTAAAACTGTCGGCATCGATTCTAATGCGGCAATAGCACTTTTGGCAGGACACAAGAAATGATTTCAGACTTAAGCGAGACAATTTTCTGCATACGCAAAAGTTATACATTGCTTCATTCATGGTGAGGCTTCAGTATGTCGTGACCTCCGGCCGTAATTACACTCTGAGCTAGGGGCCAAAGGTCCCACTTCGAATTCTCACCTCGTACTTGCGCTGCTCTAGAAAATGCTCGTGTGACCGCACATCACTTGTTCTGAATTCGGAGGTGACGTGGTTATCTAGAGGTAATGTTCTTAAACGAGCAGTTTAGTTGAAAGAAATAGTGTGAAGATATTTACGGGACTCAGAATATCTTTTTTTATCAGAAAAATTTGATAAGGTAAATAGACTAAACGCTTCTATGCACATTT